GGAGAGCAAAAGTCGCACTGGGAAAAGACAAACAGAAGGCATACAAAATTTTAAATGGTAATTTCCTTTGTCTCAGTTGTCACAGTGCGACTTTACTCTCCAGCATGGCGGTTTTGTACTACGTGAATGGCTAGCTGCAGCAGCCGGCGTTGACCAAATTTGGAAGATGCGATGTGATGCCCTTCGTGAGAGGATTTAGAAGGCTTAACGCTGGCACTTGGCGGCTAAACGCTGAAGTACGGTAAGGGAGTTTAGTGTGAACGGAACACCTAAACGCACGAAGCTTTTAGTCGTGTCACAGGACTAATCTTCCCGATTTTTAAGATATATAGAAGGTTAATGAAAGTTCGATAAATATCCGATCAATAGGTTTTTAAGGATCTTGAACAGTCTAACTGTTTACCTCTACGATGAAACATGATGAATCACCAATTTACTAATAAGCTTTTCATTTAGAAAGTGATGTCCCTCGGAACACATATCCTTAAAATGGATATAGTAGTAATTTAACTTAGGAAACTCATTAATTTTATGTTGACACTAGAGTTTAAGAGTAGGAAGCTTTTAGTTGTATAGGGTAATTCAATCATTACTTTTTTCGAAGGCAAACATATTAGCCACGCAAGCAAATAAATATAGCGAGCTGCTCAGGCTAAGGAATAGGTTCGGTAAGCAGTCATAGATAGACAGAGAAAGAGAAGAACATCAAGAAGAATGTAGAACCGCCTTGCGAGTAAGTAAAATAAACCTTGTAAGTTTGGCTGATTTTGGTGGAGTTCCTCTCCTTCTCGCCGACCCCATCAATAAACGACACGAAAAAGCATCGTTTACCAGTGGAGAAGCCTTCTTTATCAGTAGCACACAAATAACCTTTATCAGAGTTACGTTCACCAGAGTGCTGCTGAAAAAGTCAGTTTATCAGCCGTTCGCAAATTCGTTCGTTTTCGTGGGAGTGATTTAGCCTAATTTTGATAGCCTGCGAGCAAAGCTCTCCGGGCGATCTTCCTTTTCCCCCTTCGCCGCCAGAGCGCCCCGGAGAGCTTGCTCGCAGCTAGGCTAAATTTAAATGTGTATAGATAGTTTTTCAGCAGTTTTTATGGGTGGGAACCAGCGTAAGAATCGCAAAAATCATTAACTGTCACATACCGTATTTATTGGAATAAGCGCCCAATCTCGAATTAGCGCCCACCTCGAATAAGTGCCCATCCTAGAAAAAGTTAATAAGCGCCCAGCCTCGAAAAGGCGCCCACCCCCTCCTCCTCCCAATCAAACTCAAATAAGCGCTTACCCCCACCCCACCCACTTGAGTGAATAAATTCTAATAAGAGACTTCCCCGAGGACGGAGTTTTCTACAGAGTATTTTACAGAAACCTTGCTTTGTTACTTCTTCGCGTTTTGTTATTAGCATTTATTGTTTTGTTGCAAAATAAACATACTTCACTTGCTGAAAATGGTGAAAATTTAATAAGCGCTCAGCCTCGAATAAGCGCCCACCTTGAATAAGTGCCCACTCTCAAGGTCCAAAAATTTTAATAAGCGCCCAGGGCGGTTAATCGAATAAATACGGTAGTATTCTTGAGCAGGTACAGCCCACATATTACCAGGAAAATCTCTTTTTATAACTGACATTATTTACCTTTTCTTAACAGGGTTAAAACGACTCATCGTGAAGATTCAGCTTGGCCTGATGTTTCGCAGACGATTTTTGTTTTACGTGGCCTTAATATGTTGCCTTTTATATGGTTGGGTTTATTTAACTCGAGACCAATCAAAGAGTTTGCAAGACACGGCTGATAAAAATACCTTGTCAAGTACTGACGATTCTTCAGACCAGTTAGAAATAAGTGATTTAATTCGGCTTCAACCAGTACAAGGTTTTCAGCTTGCACCTCATAATGGTTTGGTGGAGTATTTGCAACCAGCTTTGTGTGAAGTAGTTCCTGCCAGTTTGATTCTCTACAACCGTATATTCAAAACAGGAAGCGAAACCTTGAGCTATCACTTTAAACTGGCAGCTGGAATGACGAATTACAGATATATTAGACGTAAGTCTTATGCAAACAAAACTAAGGAATAAGTACTGGAAGATAGGGTTTTTGCTCTGGGTGTTAACTTCATGTAAGCCTGAATGCAACCTCGTCCCCAGGGCGCTTTTCTCTGGCTTTGGAAAGCCAGGGAAAAGCGCCCTGGTGACGAGGTTGGCCTGAATGGTTAAATACTCTCATAAGATTAACCAACATAGCAGTTATAGCTGGAGGGATTAGAGAAATTTAGAATCAGGATTAGGACAAACAGTAAACGTCAGATGCCAATTGACAATGATCATCAGATAAAAACGGTCCGAAATAATTCTTATGGATGAAAATGGTCTGAATCTACTAATTTTTTTGTAAGAATCTGATAACCAGTGGACAACGACAGGAAAGGGAAAACTTGATCACGGGGTACAAATTCCGTCTTTTTTTGAAACGGAAATTTTTTTCTTCGATTTGGCCTACCGTCCACACGTGTAAACGGTCTCCAGAAAAGCATCTTTTTATAAACACTCTCCAGAGTGAAGACTTTTGAGAACGCTGGCTTCTCGTTTACGTGTGGACGGACGAAGACGAAAACGGAAGGTTTCGAATACGATGATGTCATACATTACTAACATTACGCATGCTTTGTGAGGGATGCTATCATATTCCCATTGGACGGGCAAAACGATTCAAATATACTACCTGTGGACGTCTATTTTTTTTCAAACGGAGGAAAACATCTCCCCCTGATCCGGATACGTGTGGACGGGGTCTAAATCTCTCTTAGCAGGCGAACCGTTCGGTACGCGAAAATTCCTTGCGGCTTCTCCATCGCCAAGAAAGTCCGGGCGCATGTGCGCACTGACGTACAGAAAGATACGCCCCTGGGAAGGCAGATTCCATGCAAAGCATTGGCATCGCAGAAGCTTACATTTCGCTACTCCTGCGCGATCTGCATTAGCTGCCAAAAGGCATCCCTGCTTTCGTTCTTAAGCTAAGAGCAGCTTAAGGTCACGATAAAACGCGCAACAAAAATGTGCAACCTCTTTCGAAACGTTGCTGCAAAACAGGTCTTGCAACAAATCAGATTGTTAAAATTTGCGTGAATACTGACTTCTGACTGGATACACACCATACACGGGAATTACGTCACTTGTTTGCCCTGCGCCGGTAACACGCGCACCTTGTAGAGATATGCAAAAAGTGCGACTGCGAGCAGTCTGTCTTTTTCTTCAGATTTAGTGAGAGCAATGCACGCGCGCGCGCGCCATCAGTCGCGCGCGTGGCCATTTGCGTGTCTCGCGTTTTGCTCGACGGACTACAGAAAAAAGGGAGACTGCTCGTAGTCTTGCAAAAAGTAAAACTACCCTTTACTTTCTGCAACACCTTTTTGCAACCTGAAACAACCTGATTTGTTGAGAGACCGGTTTGAACGTGGGTGGTATAACGAGCAACATCGCTTGTCAACTCGGTTTGCAGCAATGTTTCAAAATTAACGAGTTGTACGAGTTGTTTTTGTTGCCCGTTTTATCGTACCTTAAGCTATTCACGGCCTTGCGCCTTAATATCGAAGTGATAATGTGTTAAGTCGTTTTCATATCACCTCAGGTAGAACTTGGGAGGGATAACGAGTTGTACGAGTTGTTTTTGTTGCCCGTTTTATCGTACCTTAAGCTATTCACGGCCTTGCGCCTTAATATCGAAGTGATAATGTGTTAAGTCGTTTTCATATCACCTCAGGTAGAACTTGGGAGGGGCTCAGCGCACCTCTCATTCGGTGAGTTTACGCAACAGGACGGCAGGAAGAAGAGGACGGCAGAACGCTCGTGTGTGACAAACGTGACAAGGTTATTTCTTACGTGTTTTGTCGTGATCTTCACTTAACATCAATGTTTTCTGGTCTTTTACAAAAAGATCTGTTTAAACGAAAGTGAATTTTGGCGAAAAGTTATTTCAAACAAAATTATTGTCACGCTTGTCACACAAGGTTTGCCGTCTTCTTCCCTCTCCCGTGCTGTTGCGTAAGTTCACTATTTTCTTAAAGAAACGCCTTTGGAAGGTTGAAGGTTATGTTGACGAATTTTTACTGCTTGTATTTTCGTAGATACTACTGAGGATTTTTATGACAAGGGAATAACAGAGCCATATCCAGAGGTTATTGAAGAGCTAGCGACTAGCAGTCGCCAGCAAATGTTCTTCAATTCTCATTTTTACTTTAGAAAATATTTAAAAATTTCACGAGTACACACTTACATCAACCAAGTCCGTGAACCAGTGGCTAGGTTCATATCTCATTACGCTTATATGCACAATAAGCGACATCGACCGCCAGGGCGAGTACAAGAAATGATCGACAGTGGGGAATGGAACGACACCATCGAACACTGCTTTCACAAGGAAGGTCAGGGATGTAAACATAATGTAATGACGCGGTTTTTTTGCGGCCCTGAACTCTTCTGCAAAAACAATCTAACCAAAGCCCTTGAAAATGCTAAACTTAACATTGTTAAGCATTATGCTATAGTAGGATTGCTAGAACATTTTCATCTTAGTTTGAAGATTATACAAAAGCGTTTTCCCTGTTTTCTGCCGGTGATTCCTACAGATCCGAGTTTTAAACTTAACCAAGCAACAATGAACACAAAGACCTCTGTGAGCGAAGACATGATTGAGAAGATAAAGCGATCAAACTGGGCCGATATTAAATTGTACGAGTTTGTCAAACAGGTATTTTGGAACCAAGTGAAAGCGTGCAAAATACCTGAAGTCCACTAGTAAAAACGTTTACCTGAAGTTCATGCTGTTTTTCAGTTCTGTGAACTCCAGGAACACATATTTGGACACTCTTGTATGCCTTAACCCAGGCGCGCACGGTCAAACGCACTAAATACGCGGAAGAGAACTTGAGGCCTGGGAACTAGGTAAACTTTGGGGGTACAAAAGGTGCAACAACGTTTTCAACATATCATACCAATTAGCCTTGTTCTCAGTCGTCCTCGGCGAGTTCCGATGTACCGTCATCCGTCAAATCGCCTTGCACGCCTTGCGCTGTCGCGTTCGTTTCTAGGCCCTCACTGGTTCACTAGTCTGTGGGGAAGCGGCTGCGTAAACTTTCATACCATATATGTATAGTATGCTGGTTAAAATTATAGTAGTGTAAGAAACTCTGCATGTAAGTCTTTGATAAATCCACAAAGAAGAAAATTCTTTAATGTGTTACTTTACTCTATCAATAAATGATCAAAAGAAATTTTTAAAAGTTGTTACAATCTACCATCTTGGGCTGTAAACTTTCACAATGATTTCAAATTTATTTCTCAATGCAGCCTTTATAAAAAGGAAAGGAATGCGGTTTTTTTCTATCTTAAATCGTGTCAGGCAACTCGTAATTTAGTCATGTCACTACTAACATAACAGTTGCACAATATTGTCAATTATCATCTTCATCCTCTTCTGCGATATCATGAAGAATGGAGAGATCCGCAATGCCATCCTGCCATGATTTTGTCATGAAATTTCTTCTAAACTGCTGACTTGGTCTACTAACTCCCTTTTGCCGCTCTGGCTTCTTGAAGAACCTGCACAGGGTTGGTAATGTACCTGTACTTGTCGTCTCTGGCAGGGCCTGTAAAAAAACGCGCTTACTTCGTGAACAAGTCAATGGCAAAGTTTATCAAAATATGCGTTGGAAAAGAAGGAAAATCCAAATGGTTTAAGGTTCTGATTTTTTCTCATTTTTCAAGGCATATTTTGATAAACTTTCTCATTCGCTTGAATATCTGCGTTGTGCAGTTTCTTCAAAACTTCTTGAAGAAGGATGATTTCTCTCCGATATCGTAAATATTATGTGCCTAGGTAGTCTAGATCTAAGAAACTGAATTGCCGCACAGATCTACGAATTATTACATCCTAAGTAGGGGAGTTCTATCTTCAACGGGCAGATTTAAATAGCAAAAATGGAAAGGACTGAGCCCACATTCAGGTGCTGAATTTACTTCTCTGCCATTGGTCAGTTCGGTTTTGATCTGAGATCTGAGCCCGCCGTCGTCCTTGTCGTCCTGTTAGGGAGCTTAAGAAATATGAACGCGACGACAATAGGAAGGAAAACGTGACTTGAAAAGAGAATATGCACTGCTTAAAACTTAATCGCGCCCATTCCATCTCGTTCAATTCGTCAGTGTTGGCAAGTATTTCTGGAGTTGAATTCTTCAAGATTGTATCGAATTTCGGGAGATGAGAAAGAAATTCGTTGTCTCAAGTGGCCCACAAAACATGAAATAAGGAAGTTTTCGCGTCGAAGACCTGCGGCGACATCAAAGAAATGTACAATTTCTTTTTGAAGCGTGCTTAACCGGTATCGCATTATTGCCGTTTTCATTGCCGTCGTCGTCGACGTTGCTTAAGCTCCCTGTTGTCTTCGCTTGGTTAACTTGCGTACCAGGTCTCTTGTTTGAGTGTAGCGACCGAAGCGAGCCACCACAGCGAATGAGCAAGCAAGGGATTCATCGCAGGCTGGTCATAGGCTTCGCTTATGTGGACTGCGAAAAAGGGAAATTAACAGAATATAGTTTTGTGTTAGATCAGGAACGGGCTAAAATTTGCACCTACCATGCTTGCATCCTTTACTTTTCCTTTCTTTTGCTTTTTTGTTTTCTGTTTCGTCTTCCCGGTGCTGGGCTTTTGCTTCTGCTTTGTTGCTTTTGGATTTATACCCGGCGCGTTTACCCCTGAGCTAAAGGAACGTCCTCCAGGGGGCATCCCTGGGGGTCTCCCAAAACCTCTTCCAGTCCCCATTCCTCCGCTTCGTGATACCCTTGATCCTCCTCGTCCGATTCCAGGCCCTCTCGGTCCAGGTGTTCCTCTTCCAGGGGGGCGACCTGGTTGCTTCGCTTTACTATTTCCTCCAATAACCATTGACACAGACGACGAAATTTTGTTGAAAGATTCCTGCATAGAGGTTTTCAGAGCCAGGGCTGTCTGCTCTGCGGCCCTCTTTTGCCTGGTTGAACAAAACAGAGCGATGAGCTTATATATCGTGCCGAAGGGCTTATCTCACACAACAGGGGTGATCGAGAGTCACAGCCTGCTTTGCAATCTCTTCTTGCGCGCTCATTAGTCGATCGCTTGGTTCCCCCGCCCCCTTTTCTGGTACTGTGCCCAAAAAAGACAATATATGTTATTATATAAGAAAAAAAGAGACATAATTTTTTTCTTTGTTTTAGCATTTTTGAACAAGAAGTGATTTTGAAAAGCATTTCACTATAAAAAATTGCGAGAAAACATTTCTTAAAATAATTTTAAGATTAAAAAAATTGCTAAAAAGCGACGACGTTTCGACGTTAGCTGAACGTCATTATCAAGTCAAAATAAGTTAGTGATTTTTGGTCTATAAATACTAAAAAAACAACAATAGCTGATTAAAAATTGTAACGTGAGAAAAAATTAAAGAAAGAGTTTCGCACGTATGGAGTCCGTCTGAATATTTAAATTGGGCTTAAGTTTCTTGATGAAGAGCATTTCAAATACTAAACAATCAAATTTGCTCTGGCACTTTCTTAAAACCGTGAATTGGCTTTCTCTCAAAAGGTTGTTGTTACCNGCAATTTCATCCGGCAGAATTTGATGTAAAGTTTCGTGCAACTCTTTCTCTTTTTGAAGGAGCGGGTGAAAATGTTTGGGTGGTCGTCCACGCATTTTTGGTCGCTTGTCATCAACATGTGTAAATTTAGAAGTGTTGTCAACTGAAGCAGCGCTTAGAAGGCGGATGTATTCAGGTTTGTCCATCACTACAACCCCAGAACCTTTATCGGGCTTAGTGATAACGATGTCGTCACGTTTCTTTAAGCGATTGAGAGCTTTGACAAGAGCCTTAGGTGGATTAGGGCTTGTACGCTGAATGTAGTTCAAAGCGATTGAACGTAACGTTGAGCTATTTTAAAAAAAACTGAATCTTTGGATAATGCAATTCTAGAGCTCTGTTACATGAGCCATTATACCATGCTCCAAATATGGTAACTGTACGCGTCTGCTGAAAATTGGTTGTTTTTACAAATGAAGTCGGAGAGAATTCTCGATAATTTGTGGGCGTTTTAATAAAACAATTATTCCACTCGGGCTTGTTGGATATGAGATGATTATAGCCACTTCATATCCAATGCGCACTCGTGGAATAATTGTTAAATATAGCTCATATAAATACGACAGGATGCTCGAAACTTCATTCACTGGTGGACGTTTGAGATACGAGCGCAGAAATTTCATACTGATGACGTGTCAATACCCAGATCTGGTTCGTGCTTCAGATTGGTCATGACGCGTGGCAAATTTGCTCCAGTCAAAAAGCTACTGAAAAAACTACTAAAACTACTGAATTGACGGTATTGGATCAAGTTGAGTTTTGAACATTTTGATACTTTCTGAATTCATTTCTATTGTTTCTTAGTCTCTCCACACAACGAATTTTTTGTGTATCTGTTAACTAGATTTTCAGGCCGTTTAGAGATTTATTTCTCACGCCCCCTTCAAATGAAAGAGCCTTTTAGCCGACTAATTCAGATAAACATGATCTCTGGCATGGCGGATGAGACTAACGAAGAAGAAAGGTAGAATAACATTTTAACGAAACTATCGACGCACCCCTCCCCTAATTCAACATTTTGTCTTAAAAAAGAACCAGTAAAAAACCATCAGGTTAACGTTGGGTTGAGAGAAGGGTAGGTGGGTAGTTCCCTAACATCTTACACTGATCCGTATATTATGAGGGTCACCTGCTAAATTGGATTGTGTAGACCGTTCAGATAGCAAATTTTGAGAGAAAAGAAGGTAAATGTAAACTTAAGTTATGACACCTTGAAGTAGACAATGGATGTTCCTAACTGGTAGACAATAAATGTAGGTAACTGTTAATCCTTAATTGCAGTGGTATTTGTTTGAAAGCTGTATATTGTTTCTCGCCGAGTAATGGGCAATGAAGCATTAACACGGTTTTGGAAAGATTTCAGACTAACCTCGCAAGTCTCATTTTCAGGAACCAACACATCCTCTTTTATATCCGTCACATCTTGGTTTAAAGGTTTTCAGACTTCGCACAGCATTGCAGTAGCGCGCGCTTCCTGACGTAATAAACAACCCTTCTATCGCCAATTGTACAATAGCATTAGCGTCTTAGAATCAGAATTAGAATCAGGGCGAAATATTTGATTTCGGTAGATTTTTTCACGAGAAACCAGGTTTTTACAAAACACTAAGCAATTACCCTCGAAACAGCAAAACAAAAACATCATATTTTACACAAACTGATAAAAAAAGGTGAGAATTTTAAGGAAGCGGAACAGAGATTCGAATACTAATCTGTCTGTAATTATAGTTTATTTTAAAATGATTACAACTTAAGTATTCAAATAACAAAATAATGCAATTGACATGTCTATTAAGCTAAAACGCTCCAAGAGAAAATAAATAATACATTGTATTGTACAGTTCATTTTAAACCAATAAAAACGAACTGGGTAGGACATTAAATAACCTTAAAGTCGACAAAACGACTTCAGCTAAATATATTCAAGGCTTTAGGTATTTCAATAAATAGGATGCATTTTCCGGGGCTAATTTTCATAAACTACTAGGAACTAAAGAACTATAATTGTTGAACGCCTAATTTTTACAGCCCTATTTCCACGAGTGAGTTTGTCAGAACAAGAAAACAATTTCGGAAACTTGCTCGTGTAAATGGATTTAATACGTTTCTTCTCAAGGAATTGACACTCGCTAGTGTAAATGTGGCTAAGGGAAAGAGCGCAAATAAGCCGAAACTTATGCACCCATAGTTTGTTGATAATGGAACGGTTCTCAAACAAGTTTCGCGAAAAAATTCGTAATTGTCTTGTTTGAGCACTTCTTGCCAATTGGGGTTACCGTCTCGTTATTAGCGAAAAAATCTGGCGCCATTTGCTAGACCAATCAGAAGTCAAATTAAGACCCATTATGACTCACTCACGTGCAACTCAAGTCTACGTAAGCACGTTTTAAGTGTTCCCGTGCTTGGCGTCTGCTGCCATGTTTCGACATCTGATTGGTTAACCTCACTGCCAGCTCATAATGCGATTGGACGGATAAATTACTTTGGATTTGGTTTTACGCCACTCGATTGAAAACGGCTCCATCACTTTCTATCTCTAAGCTACGGGATTTCTTTTAAATAAAATCATCTTGCTGTACAATTGACACAATATACCTTGAATAAAACTATACACACTCAAATATTAAATTACTTCGCTTCTTAAATAAAACGTATGTCGAGGAACCTTGTGATATTATCAGAATAACGGCCAACTCCACGTGGAAACAAGTACTTTTTGCGCCCGCCATTCCGTAAAGGAAGGAAAACCCTTTTCGTTTGCAAGGTAACAAAAATGCTCTCAGAGTCTTAAAGGCCATGCAACATGATCATCCGAAGGGTATACAGCTCGGGGAGAGGGGGGGGGGGGGACTTCTGTGAAGAAGGGGGAAGGGACTCCGGGGGAAAGTGAGGATTTAAACCAATAACGGAAACCAATCGGGGCAGGGCGAAACCTATTTTTGACCACAAAAAAGAACCCTTTAAACTTATGATTACGTAAACGCAGAAATAAAAGTAACTACAGAAAAATTTTTTTATAT